GGTTGCACATTCACTACCGTACTTCATCCTTTAACGCTCTCCTCAAACTTTCATCAGCATCATGACGGTCTCAAAAATTGGCTGCGAGATCTAACTCGGACAGCCTGTGCCTATCCCAAGTCTCCGAATCCCCTATCAAAGTTACCCAGAGGGTCTAGCTTGAGAGGTCTGCGGAATTTCGAAAACCGGTTAACGAGATCCAGGACCTCCCACACGTTGATCCTATGCCGTGTTAGGAAAACACTAATCCAACCCGGGAATTTCAGTCTCAGAATCTACAGGTAGAGAGGAGAGGCTGGCCTGAGATACCAGTAGTGGATTAAGCGGGTGAATACGGTACTTGGGTATGAACATGAAAGGCTGGACAACCGGTGATTATGGAGGCCTGAGCCGATTACCATCACAGGAAATGAAAGGGCAAACCCGGCGTAGAAATTTCTCGGACAAGCAAGGAGCTTTGATACCTCTCTTCCCTGGCTGCCTAGCCCCCAACGTCCATACCCCAGGGCCACAGGATGATGAGGGATTTCACTCCTGTGCCGGGAGATTGGAATCGCGGGGATCAGTCACTCGGGCACCTGACCCAGGAACCGGGCTAAGATTGATCTTCAGTGTCCAGTAAAATAGCGCAGCCTTTGAAATTTAAGCGTAGAAGTATGTTCGATGCTGGCTGGTTAGGGGGGGGTAGATGCAGACGCTAAGTTTTTTTTATTTTTAAAAAAAGCCACCTAAATCAAAAAAGGAAGGGGTATTACAAGTGATTACTAGGAGAGTCCGCTTGCGGGCAGGCTGGTTTGTAAAGTACCATAAAATCGCGTGGAATCCACTTTCTCCGGCTGCCTATGATTTATGTGCCTTGGCAAGTTAACGGATCGCGAATACCGGTCAAGGAGATCCAATACCTCATCAGACCTGATCTTTGGCTGTCTCCGGGAAGCGCTAGTTCATCTAGGGCAATTTTTGTCTTAGCATAGGGAGATTTTGTGACTTAGGGAAGGTGAATTCAGCGATATCCTAAGGTTTAAGAGGAATATATATGAGATACACTCGACTCCTGTTGAGAATCGCCACTACTAGTACTTTCTTGATATTTCGCATATGTGTTCTATGGAAGCATCCTTCCTCATATGGTATCCATCTTGAATATTGTGGTCTACCGGGTGACCGAGCATAGGACTAGAAAGTTGGTATCCGGGTCTATACTGTAAAATTAGGGGCCTTCCTTTTATCAGCGAATTCAAGTCGCTACACCATATCCGTAACCCCGCTAGCCGCATGATCCTGCTTTTACCCGGGGGAATATTCCGCCGCTCCGTGGTAACGTTGGGATGGAGGGAAGTGCAATAATCTGAAAATAAGGATGCGAGGTGGTAGGGTCCACCAAAACATGTAGTGTACCTAAGTGCAGCACTCTTACAAGTATGGTGCGCCCCTTAACACCGGTACGATACATAATTAGTGCTGCTATATGGTAATGCGCGATTAGAAACCGAGCATCTTGTCACACCTAAGTTCAGCAGGGGAATAGACCAGGGAACAAACTCAAGCAAGGGAATCCGCAAGTCTGTTAAACTCCTCGGAAACCGGCACAAGAAGTGAACGAACAAACAATGGTCACTCCCACCCGTTACGATCATATTCTTAGGCATTTTCTAGCGGGTATTTGTCGCTCATTCAGCATCAATTTCATAAGCCATAGTTCCTGCAATAAAAATATCCTGAGGCCCTCCAAACCTTCATTTTATTGGACAAACCACCCAAATATTTTGGCACGATAACAGCACGTCTCTCTTCACCTATCTACCGGTGCGCCCCCAGAGAAAGAATTTATTCTCTGGTATTGCTGGCAACTCCCCAATCAATGCCAAGAAGCGAGGTGTTGTCATCCCGGGAGGTTTTAGCGAATCTCTGGCAAAGCCGCTGATAGGGATCTCAGGCCCAAGACATTGCCTCTCTTCATACGGGAACGCTAGACACAGGTGTTTCATAGGCTTGAATGCACCCCCTGGAGTACCGTTCAATAGCTGGGTTGGTGCATGGTAGCCCCCCAGGTGGACCTGCCAATATGGCTAAAAATATCGGTAATATTCTGCAAAGAGAGGAAAGAGATGTCTAGCAAGGGAAAGACCCCAAAAGGTGGGGAGTGAAAGAAATCTAGAAGCGGAGACAACACTGGGGAAGGGGGAATGAAGGCGGGCAAATTGGTTTACCGGTAGATTGGGAAGAAGCTAACGAGATAGAGGCCCTTTCTACCCTTTACCAAGCATAGCGGTCGGACCCTCAAAGCACTCGAGTACTTTAGATCTGTCCTCCGTACCCCACCATGCAATACTCCCATTACCGGGGGACCAGTGGTTCGCTCAAGTTGCTTCCACGGATGTGAGGGATGACCAGGCCAAAGGGGAATATGTTGGTAGTAATATGACCAAGGACAAGACCGTCGTCCTGCCAGTTGAAAATTGTCGGATGGAAAGACTTTGGCCGAGGCGTAAGAAATAGCCGGGTTGACCGGGTAGATTGCTACCGTGGACAGATGTCAGGTGTTGGTGTGGCATGTTGACAACTAGCAGACAACCCGGTTGTGATATACCACTCGAGAACCGTCAAGGTGCTGGTGCGCTCAAGTGGGGTTTTGGCCTTCCTTCGTCTTGAGGTCGCAATAAAACGCCATATCCCAACTCCTAATAGCCCGAGCTAAACCTTCATCCGATCCTCGGTTTCATCTCAGCCGGTCCTTGTCTCGACGTAAAAGTGGCGGTCGGTTTCTCGAAAGATAACGCGGTAGTGAATTCGGAGGTCGGTGGTGTTTGGAACCTGGCTTCGGGACGGGGAAAACGGGCGATGCTATCACTAGATAGCTTGCAAGAACGTCGATGGGCAGAGCCGCAACCCAGCGTTAGCGCTAAGGGCTGGATGAACGTTAGAGATGCTGACTAAGAGAGAATTCCTGATGGCCATCCGGGGGGTTTGCTTAGTCATCGGCCCCAAAACGCTTCCCATCCAAAAAGTGCTTTCCCACTGCATTTCGGTACACGCCGCCGTTGATTCCGTCGCTCAGCATGCTTCCCCAGCTGGCAAGTGCGGGGGCAAGGTTGTCGATAGTTGTTTATACGCCCGGCCCGCTAAAGCCCGTACGGTAAGAATACTGTGCGGCTAAGCTCGGTCAGGGTCAGACTAGCTTAAGCTTCGTGGGCCCGGCTTTTCCAAAGCCATACACGCTTTATCAGTTTCTGCCGGCAGCGGTAGGCTCCAGCATGTGCTGTGTGGTCACTCAGTATTTGTCACTATGTATGTGGTAGAGAGCTGAAGGTCCTTACAAGTACTCAAAGAGCACCGCGGATATCTTCAAACAGCACCTGACATATTCAGATATTTTCAAATATCCGCATACCGGTACGCGATGCAAAATCTGAGGCCAACATCGCTTGGCACGGGCCCGGGATACCCAAAGATGAAAGAAAAAGAACATTCCGACAAAACTAGTGAGCTGAGGGTAGTGCGGATGCTACGCAGCTTGATATCGCCCGGTATATTCCTCAACTGTGCAGGAGATAGATTACTCTCGAACCAGTTATTTCTACCTAATAACAGGTTTTTTCTCTGCCACCTGGGTATCGTTATGAACCTTGGGTTCTGCGAGCTCTTCCCGCACGCATCTCCTCGGCCATGCCGTTCTCCAGACGCTACTCGCTGATAGGTCCGCATTGCAAGCTATTTCTTTTTCTATTCTTTTCTTCTTTTTCTCTTTTACTGTGGCCATCTGGAAGCACAACTGTTTAGGCGAGTATACGAACTTAGACTTCGAATTTACAGTAAGAACTATGCCCAGGCGTATTTCAACCCTAACCTACATAAGCAATCATGGGAAAGATAACACATCGCCGCTTGTAGGTCCTTATGCACTAGTGTTCTGCACAATCCACACCCGTGTATTTACATATCCTAAAAACTCTCTGAAATCCCCGCAATCACCGGCGGTCACCTAAGGAGCCGCGGTTGTTCTTGAGGTCTTGGCTACGCTGTCGTGTTCACAGAAAAGCACTTTGTTAGCCCTGGGAGTAGGAAGTGGGCTGTTGCGATCGCCAGTTCGAGGGTACCATTTGGCTGAATCATGGACGAGACCACACATTTACAAATCGTTGTTTTAGTATCTTCGAAGGTACGCGGGTATAGTGCTTTCTGAGGGAGCCACCGGTAGATAGGGCATGGGTACTGGTAACACTGATCGTAGGTCCGTGCCTACGGGTTTGAGGGATGACGGCATGGACCAGCAAGTGACTGCTTATGATTCCACCAGGTAAAAGAGGGCTGCCAGGATCTTGTGGAGTGAGGGGATGAAAGATAAGATTCCCTATGAAAAATAGGCAGATAAATTATTAAAAGACCAGAAATAAGACAAAATGAACGGTGAGAAGTCAGCGGAAGGCCGAATACATTCGTTCGCAATACACAAGTATCTCTCGCGCGCAGTGAACACGGATCCGAAAATTCCGCCACAGCGGCCCACAAATTACTCTCCTTATATACAAACATTGCCCCATGTTTTTCACACCAGATCCCCACAGCTCCCTAGACGAGTAGAAACCGGGGACTCACTCATGTCGCCTCGAGTCCAACCAAACCATATGCGACATGATGAGGAACCGCGCTGTCAGCCTATCACCCGTGCCGGTGGGGTGCAGTCAGATAAACGCGAAGTAAAACAGGTTCTGGAAATTGCAGCTATGCCTGGTCAGGGTCATTTGGCAGCCGCTGCCGTGCACACGCCTGCATAGTCTCTGATTTAACGTGCTTTTTCTTGTGATTGCTGCACAATAACGAGGTT